AAGTTCTACTATGCAACTCAGGAACAGCTGGTCTTTTATTTGTCAGTGTGGAAATTTTAGCTGCTGCTGGAGACAGTATGTGAATACCACAAAGAGAGACACATTCAATTAAGTCTGAATCTGAATCCATAGCACAATTACACTGGATACATGAATAAAAAGAGAAAAAATATTCAGATATTTAATATTAAACATTGAAACACTTAAAGATTCTTCAATACTAAATATTCAAAATGTAATGAAACTTCATGACAAGGACTTGTCAAGAAATACTTTGAGACTCTTTTGGAAGCATTGGGAATCAAAGGATTTTCCTATTATATTAAAACTTGAAAGCACTCAATCCATATGAAACAGCATCTATTTACAAACAAACAAAAAACACCACCAAAAAAAACCTTTAACCACCATACTGCCACCAAAACCAGTAAGATACTGTCAAGACCAACTAGCAGAAACCAAAGATCCTCTGTGACTAGAGTCTTACTCCATTTTGTCTGGAAGCATCTCCAGTATTGTCTCAGAAACATCTAACCTAAGTATTACAAAATAAATTACAAACAAATGTAGTTTAAAATGTCTCCTTTTCACTGGTCTATGCTATTTTTATTTGAATAGTTCTTTGTGTGTACCAACACTGCTATACACGCTTGATAAGTTATGGCTTTATAGCTTACTTTGCACTCCTACCTCTGAGAAAAAGTGAAACTAAGCTTGATTCAGAGAGATAGCAGAGGAAGAAGAAAGGAGGGGGTTTTCCTAACCAAAAAGCTAAAGCTGTAATGTCACAGCTACCTTTTTAGATTCACATTGTTACCTACCTGCAACAAGACCTTCCACTGAAGACTTAAAGCCTTTTTTCCCCCTCCCGGCTGTGTTAGATTCACTGCTGAGAAGCTATGTCAAAAAAAACGGTTGCCTAATTTATAACATTACATCAAGCAAGGATTTTCAAAACTCAAAGCAGCATTCCAGACTCACCCACCTCTCTGCCTACTAAGACAAAGAGTTATTTGCCTGAAATATTTAGAAGTCCTTTAGTTGAGATGGTTCTGGCTGTGACACCCCATCAACCTGGTCACTCTGCTACCATGCCAAGGGGAATTTGCAGAAGTTTCACTTCTGTACACAGCAGCTCCTGCTTCTGTAAGCTGTAGACAGTCTGCTATGGATGAAATATTAAAAGTTCCAGTTACTAGTTGAATAATCTTTCCATCTCAATGCCAGTTACCCTTTTTCAGCTTCACCTTACGCAACCATCCCACTTCTGGTCATCTACTGTAAGAACCATTATACCTGTTCTGGCAGATCCAGGCCCAGCAAGAAAGCAGATTTTCCAAACAGGGTTACACTTCTGGAAGTTTTGAGGATGGTGCGGAGAGACAAAAAAAAGATGCTACTGGGAAAAGGCCCTACTTGTGCCTCCCCTCAGGCACCCACTTGGCTCGCCAGCAGCACCCACCCAAGCTCCCAGCATGTGTTGCCTTGCCTGGTGGGTGCGTTAGGAGACACAAAGCAGTGCAGCTGAAGACCAAGACAAATTCACAAGCAACTAGGCTCTGCTAATTACTTCTAGTCACCACCAACATGCTGATCCACATGATACCACAAGTCCTAGCATACTAAAAACTGGTTAATTAATATTATTTTTCCTCTCTGAACCAGCACTTCAGGAAGAAATTCTTTACTATGAGGATGGTGAGGCACTGGATCACGTTGCGCAGAGAAGCTGTGCATGTCCCCTCTGGAAGCGTTCAAGGCCAGCTTGGATGGGGCCTTGGACAACCTGGTCTAGTGGAAGGTATCCCTGCCCATGGCAGGGGGGTTGGAACTAGATGATCTTTAAGGTCCCTTCCAACCCAAACCATTCTGTGATTCTATGAAAGCATTACCAGACTTATGAATCTCATAAAGAGAGTGTGTGAAACACCCCCTGCTTTCTGACCCTGTACAACCCACACAGGAAGTTAACAAGAAAAGAACATATAAACATAGAAATTTATCTCACATTGCTGAGAACTGTTATCCACACACCTAAATCAGAAGATCAGGTCCAATGCCCTTAATCAACTGTAAGAGTCACAAATAACAGGAGGGGTGCCTAAGGATGGCAAGTGAACAGTACAGGAAAGATTTATGTGGTTTCATTCAGGCTTGGGGAAGAAAAGAAAGTTTCGAGATTAGAGGCAGCCTAGATTTTTCAATCAATAAATGTTTCCTCCTCAATCCTGAAATCCTGAGTCAATTTAATCCTGCTATCTAGCTCTCTGCATGGTTTCTTACAAAGAGGTATTTAAAAACCTCAAAACAATCAGTAATGCCTTTCTCTGTTGTGTCACTAGCATGGTCCAACTATCAGCCAGTTACTTCCTTGAAATGGAAGTCAGGACACTTCTGTGCAATGGCTGCTAGACACTGTGACACCTTCTAGTTTCAGAACTAACACAAGAATACCATACATTTTTAAATAAATGCCCATTAAAAGCATTTTAACAGTTTTAAAGACTTGGTGATGAAGCTGCCATTAAAAATACATGCAACTAAACACAATGGTCTTGAAGGCCACGAGACAGAAGGAAGGGAAGAAAAAAAAGTAATTGTGATCCACTATTACAAAAGGAACAAGAGCAGTCTCAGAGAAGCAATTGTCCTGAGCAGCCTGTAAGACTAAAGGCTTTAACTCATTCCTCACTAATTTTAGACTTCTGTTCTGAAACACATTATTCAAAGACTGAAAATGCTGTTGAGTCATTCCATCAGCTTTTTCAACTGCAACACAACTCAGGAGACCTCAAATCACATTTATAAAAAGAACTCCAAGTATTACATACACCTATCTACTAAGAGTACATTTTGTTGGCTTTACCTTTCTATCACTTCCTAATTTTGCAATAAATAACCACATTTTTACTCTGCTAGAGTAAAATTGTTTTCTAGGTTGAGAATCATAGAATCATTTAGGTTGGAAAATACCTTTAAGATCAAGTCCAACTGTAAACCTAACACTGCCAAATGTATCACTAAACCATGTCCCTAAGCACCACATC